TTACTTGGTGCTGGAAAAAATGGTTGGCACTGCTGTAAATGATGTATTTCTTTTTTTGAAATTTGACGAGAGTCTCTAGGTCAAATTTCATTAGGTTTCATATAGACTTCATGTATAAGCGAAAAGTATACAACAGAATCTACCATACTTTATATTTGGGTTGGCCCCCTCCCCCTAGCAGTAGGATTCTTCCACCTATCAATTCTTTTTGTTTTATTTCGTGGAAAAGAAAATTCAAATTTTCAGATACTTCTAACAAGGCCGGGGGTGGGGGTCACATTCTCATATAGCTCTGACCCTCTCAGTCCAACGCTTTACCGTATTATTTGTCATATCAGTTGATCTTTGTTTTTTAAGATTAAGACTCCAGATGTTTATGTTTTATTTCGTGGAAAACGGGAGTGGTAAATACAAATTCTCCGCTAACTCTTACATAGATGTGATTTTATATGAGTAAAATTTGACCCTCACAGTCATAACCGAAGTCTTATAAGCGCAATATTATGTTGTATATATTAACACACATCATAGATAAATATTTTCTTAAATATTGTTCATAAAAAAAAAGTCTAGTTTTTAATCATAAAAAAAAATCCAAACAAAACATGTAAAATATAGGCAAATCTGTATTCAAGTACAAATATATAGCGAAGGGTAATTCTTTTTCTTTATGAATTTATGGAAAACTTTTTTTGTATATCATTTTGCCTCCGAACTTGCAAATGAAGAAGAAAAAATCCTGGGGATTTGTCCCTCATTCTTTTCCATAGAATTGCAGTTTCAATTCACATAATTCTGTAATGTTTTACGCATCGTTATTGTCTTTCAATTTAATATTTGTACTATATTCGAAGTCAACACCAAACATCTTCAATTCTGCACAAGTACATGTCATCCTATCATTGTTTTATTTTGACTTTACCTTCTGTTTTTTTAACTTAACATTTTACTGTTTCAAGTCAAGACCAAACTTCTTCAAATTTACATCGTGTAGTTTCAAGTCAACACATTGTATGATAAGCCTCTCGTGACGTCATAATGATATAACATCGTGCTATCTGAGCTCAACAACACGTACTTTCAACTGTACGTTGTGTAGTTTTGACTGAGCATATTGTATGGCAAGCCTATCGTGACATTCTAATGATATAACAACGTGCTATCTTAGCTTAACATCACGTACTTTCAGCTGTACGTGGTGTAATTTTAAATGAGAAAATTGTGTAATAAGCCTATCGTGACATTATAATGATATAACATCGTGCTGTCTTAGTTGAACAACACGTACTTTCAACTGTACGTCGTATAGTTTTAAATGAGCATATTGTATGGCAAGCCTATCGTGATATCATTATGATATAAGATATTGCTATCATAGCTCAACATCACGTACTTTCAACTGTACGTCGTATAGTTTTAAATGAGCATATTGTATGGCAAGCCTATCGTGATATCATTATGATATAAGATATTGCTATCATAGCTCAACATCACGTACTTTCAACTGTACGTCGTGTAGTTTTGACTGAGCATATTGTATGGCAAGCCTATCGTGATATTATTATGATATAACATCGTGCTATCATAGCTCAACATCACATACTTTCAACTGTACGTTGTGTAGTTTTAAATGAGCATATTGTATGGTAAGCCTATCGTGACATTCAAATGATATAACAACATGCTATCTTAGCTTAACATCATCTAGTTTCAACTGAAAATTATGTAGTTTTAAATGATCATATCGTGTGGTAAGCCTATCGTGACATTCTAATGATATAACAACGTGCCATCTTAGCTTAATATCACGTACTTTCAACTGTACGGTGTGTAGTCTTAAACGAGCATATCGTGTGGTAAGCCTACTGTGACATTATAATGATATAACATCGTGCTATCGTAGCTTAACATTACAAAATTTCAACTGTACGTCCTGTAGTTTCAAGTGAGCATCTTAGCTTAACACGTTGCATCGTGTTGGTTTAAGTCAACAAATTGTATGGTAAGCCTTTCGTTTCAATATAGTGGTGTAGCATCGTGTTATCTTAACTCTACATCATGTACTTTCAACTGTGCATCATGGTGTTTTAAATCAACAGATTGCACGATAGACCAATCGTAATATCACAATGATATAACATCGTACTATCTCAGCTCAACATTAATTAATAACAAGTCAGCACCATACATTTTAGCTATTCATTTTATTTGTTATCATAGCTGTCGATGTAGATGACTGAGCAGTATCCATCTGCAAGCTAACATCATGCAACGTCAACTTCACATCATGTACTTTAAACCCAACGTTACGTGTGTTTGGCATATCATCACAACATCGTGACTTATCATTATACTATCACGACTAAAGCACTTGTCATTGCAAGTCAACATTGCGCAGATTCAACTTAGCATATTGTAATTTAGAGTTAGCATTTTGATGACTCGATTCAACATCACGCTGTCTTAACTTTACATTTTAAGCTTCAGCATAACGTTTTGTAAATCTCTAATATATGACAGCTGAGGCTTTCCATAATATAGCTTGATACGCGGTTTTGCCCGTTGTTGTAGGCAGTACAGTAACCTACAGTTGTCAACTTATAGATGGGTGCATTCCTAACATGTACAAAAGTTAACTTGGAGCAGACTTTTTGACTGCTTTCAAAGTTAACTTGAGAAATTTTAAGCAAACAAGCAAGTTAACTTCGTCGTTGGTAGACCAGACCTATGTCTGCTTTTTTAGGACTGCTGTAGACCTGTTGACAAGTCTGCTCCAGACCAGACCAGACCTATGGACAAGTCTGCTATGGACCAGTCCTGATGACAGGTCTGCCAGGACCCGACCTGTGGACAGGTCTGCTCCAGATCAGACTTGTGGACAGGTCTGCTACTGACCAGACCTAAGGACAGGTCTGCTTAGTTCCATGTTTAAGACTTTTCATATTAGACCTGAGCTTTTATGTAAACAATAATCACATTGTTCTTTTTTCCTAAATTACTATACTCGTTATAATATGTATAGATATCATACACATTAAAAATTTCTTTTTAATTTCATATTCTTATAAACATTAAATAATTGCTATAAAATTACACACTTCTGATCGACAAATATACATGCAGCTATCAAGAAAGGAAAGGTTTTTTTTCTAATTAGAAGGCGGATAGAAAAGTTATCCAACCCATAGGAAAAAGATTTTATATGATTGGATATAAACATCATGATTTACGTTGCTTCGTTCCGCATTTGTAACAGTCTCTTCCTAAATATAACTTTATTCATTTTAAAATACATGGATTTTTCATCGTAATTCACCTTGTTTGCCTTTGATTTATGATTCTGTTTTTGCAAAACGTTCAAATGAAAATTGTACAGTGTCGGGATATATAAGGTGTTGTATAATTATGAACCATCTCGTCAATTTTGGCAGATTTATCCTTACCGATTATAGACACATATATACACATATATATCTGCCGATTATAAATGATATCTGGGACGTCCGAAAAAATATACTCGTTCTGAACATGAATGAAATATTTGCCCCTGGACGTTAAACTACAAATAAAATCAATATTAACAGTATACTATTCCCAGAAGAGAACTTCTCATACTTTTCATCATATTAAAGTGCAACTATAATCAGTCATGTCAGTGTTGGATGATACGGTCAAATAGTTTTGTAAATACAAACCATCCTTTACTTCTGACTTAGTGACGGTTCAATATTATGAATACAGAGAGGAAATGCTGGAACTCTAAATTGATGCGAACAAAATTTTGTAGTCATTGTGTTCCAATATTGCAATATTATACAATCCATCCTGGCATAAAAATATTACTGATTTACTATGCGACTAAAAAGATTTACATTATAAAGTGCAAATAGGATCAGTTTTGGTTGATGCGGACAAATGATTTTGTTAGACGAGTCAGCCTGTGGTATCAAAACCAATGATTTTTTTACGATTCAATATTTTGAATAAAAAGAAGACATGCTGGCTCTCTAAATTGATGCGGACAAAATTTTGTAGTCATTGTGTTCCAATATTGCTGTAATTTGTATTATACAATCTATCTTGATATTTTATAAAACCTGTGTGTTGTTCACAGTACTATTTGAGTAGTTTATATATTTTATAGACACCTGTGTGTTGTTGAAGATTGTAAACTATATTCATGCCTAGATTTCTTGTTTTTTTTTAAAAAGGGGGCGGGGGGGGGGGGGGCAACCATATTTTTTCATTCAAATACATTGATCGTCCAAAAATGGGGGCCCACCCCAGGAACACCCTACCCCCTGGATCCGCCACTGCTCAGGAAGGGAAAGTAGATCATTGTTCACCAGTGGCACACATCGTGCACGCGCCATTTCTTTTTAAACATTATAAGAGTACGTTTTGTATTACAATAAATATATTAAAGGGAAGGGAAGATAATTTGTAGATGAATGCTTGTACGTTTCCTTGTGTTGGGTTGCTATTTCATTGAAGTATATGTCTCATTGACAATCATACCACATCTTCTTTTTTATAGCATATCTCATTGTACTCCGACTAATGAACATTCATTTTGAAAAATTTAAAAGAGAAACAATAATATTTTTCTTAATGCTTCATAATTAATTTTCGTCGATCTATCACGTTCTTCTTTTCCCCGAATGTCATCTACCGAATTGTATTTATCACTGGGTTTGTACTTACATGAGCAACACGAATGGTCCCATATGTGAGGCAGGATCTGTGTATTCTTTGGGAACACCTGAGGTCACCTCCGGTTTTTGATGGGGTTCGTGTTGCTCAGTCTTTAGTTTTTTTTATTTTGTGGTTTGTATGGTGTTGTTTGTTTTTTGGTCTTTTTCTTTATTTGTCATGGCATTGTCAGTTTATTTTCGACTTATGCGTTTGAATATCCCTTTGGTATCTTTTATTCTCTCTTTTACAAATGGATAACTCTTTGCAATTAGTAGCATTGATGTTTATACTTTAATAAACACCTATATTGTGTGATCATCTTTAATATGAAATAAAAATCATATAGTTTTTACAATACGTCGTTCGTTCCTCAATTTTCCAAACTTTTCAAGTATGTCAGCATTTCTGAAAAAGAAAATGTTAAATGTGAGGTAAAAGTTATTCAAACTCTCTGTTTTCTCTCTCTCTCTGAACAAAATAATCTCAGAAATGATACAATAGGCATAGGTATTACTATATATATTTATATAGACATAGTCGGAGACTTTCTGAGGTATCATTTGTCAGGACTAATTGAAAAATGTTTTTAAATAATAAATCAGATGTATAAATAGATACTCCATATTTACATCTATGTAAAGTGTACATTCTTCCAAAGTTTGGTGACTTGATACATTCTGTACTAACATTCTTTTAAAGTCGCGTGGAAGAGATTCGTTTTTTTATGAACTTCATGTGTTACACAAATTTTCTTCTTTGCATATTTTTTTTATTATGATAATAATGATAAAAGGATATAATGGATACATATCACTGAGACAGCAAACAAACGACACAAGTCAAAAGGTCAACGGTCTTCAACAATAGACAATTGTCTATACAAAATGTCAAAATTTTAGCAAATCCGAATTTAACACTAAAGTATTAGCAGTATGGGAGATACCTGATACAAAAAGACTTAAATTCTACAACTTTTTGTGTGTCATAGATCGATAAATTACCTGTTTTGCTCAACTCGCGATCATTATTGGTATCACATAGTCGAACAGTCTCTCTCGCCTTCTCTATTGGTGTCGAACCGTCTTTCGGTTTTGTATATAGAGCCAACTCTGAAGCAGATAAAAGGCCATTCCTATTATCATCAGCTATCACATACAAATAGTTGAGTGTATTTTCATGACTTCTTCTCATGAGGAGCTGTATAAATAATACAAATACAAATGTGATAATTTTTAATTATATGAAAAACACATAAAATAATAAGAATAAAAAGCAAACATTAATTTTGAAAACATTTATATCGATTTATTCTGGAAAAATTAGGTCAAAATTTATTTTCGGTGGTGCCAATATTTTAAATTGATTTTGACAGATTTGGTCAGTTCAAAAGACAATTTCTTATATGCTTTATGTAAACCAATTTGCAACCAAGGATGGTAAAATCTCAAGAAACACACTTTGTATGTTCGTACTTGAAACTCAGGAGAAATATGTAATTCTGATATAAATTTTCCATCGTCTCTAATATGAAACTAAAATCTACAACCCTCATTCTATCAAATTGCCTTCATTGTTGTAGTAACGAACAGTCGTGTAGCCTCGATTCCATAGCAAATCACAAAACCAGTAGAAGAGCATTGGCATTAGAATTCTAGAAAACTACATTCTATTAGGACTCATTGTCTTAAAATTGCTGGTTTAACAGTTCTCGAGAAATATATTTTTCAGAATAACACTCAATGAAATTGGCGCCCGAAGGAATATCCACACCCGTTTAAACAGTTCCTAGAACACCACTCGTGTTTAAGCTCGCACAAATGCTCATCGCAGAAGACCTTTTTTATAATATGTGTATCATTCCTGCGTTTGTATTTCATTAATATTTTGTTTAATCGACAACGCTTATCTTATGTTCGTTTGAACTTTTCAAAGAATATAACGTTTCAATATAACAAACATGTTATGAAGACAAAATTACAATGAAAGCTGCAAATATAATGTATTGAACTTACAACATGAACTAAGTATCTACTTAGTCGATAATAACAAACAAAAACGACTATAAATTTGATATGATTGACAATGTATATTTTTACGACTGTTGCAACCGTTCAAAACGAAAAATCTTGAGGACGGATCTGCTCTCGCTGACAAAACTCACACAGAACTCCTTTTTTATCTAGCAATTCAGTAATTCAGATATATATTCTACTATTCTTCAACATGACATATATCAAAGAATCAGAAATATCTAGAAAGAGTAATCGCACTAAAACTACTAGCAAATATGTTGAAGGTACGTTTTGTGCTTATAAATCTGTTAGTTTTCATTATATTTTTTGCCCAACTGTCAGTTTTTGTTATGGTACAGATCGATTGCTTGTTTTCTGTGTGTTATTAAACGATCTATCTTTTGAGTATATAATTATTTACCCATCTGACAGTTTTTGGCACAATGTATGTTACTGATTGATTGCTCGTTTTTGGTGTGTTACTTTCCGATCTGTTAGTTGTCAATATGTGACTGATCGGTCGTGTTTTCTGTATGCTACTTACCGATCTTTTATTTTCCGGTATGTTCCCCAAAATATCTTCCAGTAGGCAGTGTCCTACTATCACAAGTGTCGTCAAAACTAGAAGTGTTTTCATTTTCTGAAAATATAAGTTGGAAGAATATAGACAGGAAGGTAATCATTATTAGAGATATTTGGGCTTGGAGTGTACATAAGGGAGGTAATCCTTATTAGAGATATTGGGGCTCGGAGTGTACATAAGGGAAGTAATCTTTATTAGAGATATTGGGGCTTGGAGTGTACATAAGGGAGGTAATCCTTATTAGAGATATTGGGGCTTGGAGTGTACAGAAGGGATGTAATCCTTATCAGAGATATTGGGGCTTGGGGACACAGTGTCGTATGAACATTATGTTTTATGTTGACGGAATTATCATAAGGCGCATTGTATATAATTTTAAATAAGAGACAGGCCTCCATTTTCAAGCTTGTATATGACCAACGAGTTGGAAGGTGTGATTTTATTTGGTAAACTTGTTCATGCACTGTATGAAAATTATATATGTTAGTTCAATGGGGGCGTATTTTCATATATTAATATCAATAAAAGGTAATGTGGGTTATTCGTCAATGAGACAGCAACCTTAGAACACAAATTTAAAAAATACATCTAGAGGGCACAATACAGTGTACAGGTGTCTATACAAAACGTCAAGCTCTAAATCGTCCAAGTATATAAGTGTCTATAGAAGTTGTGAATAAATTAAAGTGAATCAAATTAAGATCTTTCAACATTCTGCTCAAGGTCGGTGGTTCTTTCTGTGTACTATGGCTTTCCCGTTTTGTAGCGGTGGAGGGGTTCCTTATAACGTTGAAAGATAAATCAACATTTGGTAAAAAAAATGGCTGGATAACTAAGTGGCAATAAAAAAAAAATAATTTGAAAGACAAGCAGCATTTGGTCAAAATCGGCTAGATAACAGAATGGCAATTAAAACAAAAGTTTACCCGTCTTGGCAATTAAAAACAAGTTTACTCGTATTGGTAATTAAAATTGTTTTTACCCGTGTTTATATAAAATAAAGTTTACATGTATTTCTTTACTTTTTAACAGTTCAACGGACGCTAATTATAAGTGGTAGTAATATTTCATACTGACTTGTTTTTTTAACATGTGACCAAATTATTAATAAGTGAAGATAGCTCAAAACTGAAATTTTTATAGATTTCGAAACATTTTGAGTATGTTAGTGTCCATTAGATACATATTATTTCATCTTTGTTTAAGAGAGGCGAAGGATACCAAAGGGAAATTCAAGCTCATAAGCCAAAAATAAACTGACAACGCCTGGGGCTAAAATAAGAAAAAAGACCAACAGACAAACAGACAAACAACAGTACACAAAACATAACATAGAAAGCTAAAGACTGAGCAACACGAACCCCACCAAAAACTGGGGTGATCTCAGGTGCTCCGGAAGGGTAAGCAGATACTGCTCCACATGTGGCACCCGTCGTGTTGCTCATGCGAGTACAAACACGGTGATAAGATGTCGATTTTACAAGACCATGTAAAATTTTCAATATTGTTTTTGAAACTTTCGTCAACAGTTTATGAAGACAATTTCGATATCATTGGAATGTGTAAAATTGTTGAAACATGTTCTGAAAAAATATTATTTGGACTCTTTCATATTCAAATACTAGTTGGTTTAAACAGCTGTCTAAATTATACACTGTGAGTATGATATGTTTTATTAGTGAAACTTGGTCCTGTATGTTTCCTTGTTGAACCATCGACTGCCACAGTATAAACTTATGCTCTAAGAATATGTTTAAGCGCTCGCTGTTTTGATGATAGCAAATGAAGTGATTCTTATTAAAGCAACTGTTATTGAAAGCATATAAAAATTCTTAATCAGGAAAAAAAGACAATAGTATCATCACTTTATACAAAGGTAACTAAACAAAAATAGGAACTTACGATTCAAAGTTATTTTGTTGTTTTAACTGAATCTTATCTTTAATTCTACTAATTAATTGTTCTTTTGATTCGTTTGAGTTATATCGACATTGACAATAAATTGTTAATTATTTTACTCTCATATGATTCTAAAGTTGACTAAAACAGCCAAATATGTGTCAGTTACTAACAACGGTGTACGAAGGTACATGGTGACAGTTACTAACAACGGTGTACGAAGGTACATGGTGTCAGTTACTAAGGGACCGGTCAATATTTATTTGGGGGTTGGGACCGGTGCAATTCATATTTCTCCCTTCAAAAAATCTATGTCCTACCCTCTGAATATACCAAAAAAAGTTTCTGTCCTATATGAAATATCTACTAAATAAGTATATGTCCTATCTAATCTATGAATAAATCAAACAGACTTTAACTTCATTTTTATCAGATTAACATAGATCACATATAGTACTCTTTGAATTTGTCTGGAATTTTAACTGATCTCTTCCTTGAAGAAGGCAAAAAAGATTCCTTTTCAATTTCACTTTCACTTTCACTGCCACTACTACTACTATTACTACTGTATTCATCATTAGTATTATTATCATCATTGTCATTATCACTGTCAGAACTGTCATAGGCTCTTATTACAAGGTCATCTTCTTCATCACTTTGGATTTGTTCATTATACAGAGTTTTGTAAAATCTAGTCAGTTGAAAATGAATTAGATGTGCTATTATTATGAAACTTTTATTTTGTAACAATCTCCTGCATCTACATATCAACCTGTGTTGCCGAAGGCGACAGCAGGTCTAGAAGTCAGGTCACTCATTCTGTCTGTCAGTCCATCTGTCCATCCGTTGCAAATAGCTTGTCATAGCAACTGCTCTGAAATTACTACACATATACTCTTGAAACTTGGTATGTAGCAAAAACATTATATGTACTTTTGTATACTAAAATATTTTTTTATCATCAAATTTTTATGGAAGTTATGCCCCTTTGAATTTTCCTGTATTAGCAGAAATGCGATGTTGTCCTGACATTGATTGGTCTCACTTGTTTATCATATGCCTGTATTTTGAACATTATTATTTTTGCATATCACATGGAACACATAATATTACTGTTATTATTACTCTGAATGTTCATGGGCAGAGATGATGTTGAATTAATATGCCAATTATCCGCCCACACATACATGTATTCATTGTGATTTTATATTTAAACCGCCCATGTTATATTAAAATCGATATAACACCCTGAATGTGGATATAACCCATTTGATATTACGATGGATATTATTTGATTCCTATTTATTCCTTATAAAAATATGTCAAAACAGTAGAACTGCAATTCTAATGGAAGATTCTTACACGAAGAGTAATACTCTACAATAGTTTATGAACAATTTGTATTATCTTTTTTTTTTTTAATATATATTTTTTTTCTGTCTTTTGACTTTGTTTTTTTCTTAATTTTCTAGTCAGAATGTTCTATTGTTAAATAGTTTTCCTTAATTTTAAAGATGTATATTTTATTTAATCCTACCTTTATTTAATGATTTGCAATTGGTTAATTTGTACCACGCTGATGGCAGTATATCATATCACTTATTAAAAGCTCCATCAATGTTCTCTTTTTACATTTGTTTATTGTTGTTTATTTTGTTCTTATTAATTTTATGGGTTTTTTTTGTTATTATTTATTTTTTATACATGTTTATTTTTTTCAACCTTTTTAAAATCATTATATGATTGTTCTATATTAAAACATAATATTAATGTCTAGACTTGAAATTGTATTTCCATTGTTGTTACTTGTTTGTTCATCAATTAATCTTGTTTATTTTGCTGTAATTAAATTTGTTTAGCCTATTTTCTACATTCATACATATGCCATAAAAATATTTCTGTCCTATCAGTGCTGAAAACTAAAAAAGTAGAAGTCCTATCAAAAATTAAGTTAAACAAAATGTGTGTCCTACTGCGTTTTGCACCGATCCCAACCCCCAATAAATATTGACCGGTCCCTAACAACGGTGTACGAAGGTACATAGTGTCAGTTTTAATATTTGCTTTATTTCATTTTTCAAAGATAATGAAAATAAAAATAACGGCAATCAAAGCTAACGTGTATATGATAAAAATGAAAAAGTAAATACCTTGTACGAATTTTGAACTGTCTGTAGATCTTTGATGTTGGTGTGTCACTTTTCCTCTGTTATGGATACCAGGTACCACAAGTTTATATATGGTTGAAACAGCGGAGGAAGATGGAATTGGACTATCATTATATTTAATAAAGGGGAAAATTACATTTAAATGACCTTTTCTGTAAAATGTCATTAATCCAAAATTTGAAAACTAATGTTATAATTTGTGACATTAACCCAAATATAAATATAAAAGTTCATATACAGGTGAAACAGTGGAGGGAGATAGAAGTGGACTATCATTATATCTAATAAAGGGAAAAATTACTTTTAAATGACTCTTTCTGTAAAATGCCATTCATCTAAAATGTGAAAATTTATGTTATAATTGGTGACTTCATCATAAATTGACAGCACTCAATTTTTTTATGAGCAATTCCTTGACATTATTGTACTTAACAAAGGTTGGCATGGTTAAGAGGAAACTTTGCTGTTCAAAATTGGAAAAAAAAAATGCTGTTTAACTAATTCCAGGATATTAAATGCCGAGATCGTACCTAGCAATGAAAAGAACCAATAGCATGAAATTAAAATCCAGTCATTTAAAAATACACCGCTCTTCCAAAACACCCAGTTTTTCATTATAACCGTTTTTACGTTTTCAAGGCAGAATAGTCATCTCAAACACGCCCGAATATAAAAAGGTGCACTTGACATTCTCTTTTTGATTCAATTATTGCCCATTTTTTTTTAATTTTTTCCCAAAAAACTGTCCCCGGGGCAGAGATGCGAATTAATGCTTTAGAAAGATCAATCCATTATCTTTCTGTGGACTTTTGTTTTGGCGGAATTTATGTTTATGCACAAAAAAGATCCACTTGGATTTGAACCTGCCACAATCGACTGTTTTAAGAAAATTTGTCTATAATTTAAAGTTTACAAATATCTCGAAGCTCCATACTATAATTCAAATAAAAACACATATATAAGGTGCATAAAATCCTAAATTATGCACCTTTATTAAACTTTTAAAGCTCATAGAAACAGATGTAAACAATTCAAATATACCATTTTTGCTCTTTTACCTTCTCTAACAAAGAGTTCGATTTCTTTTGTTTAATTTCAACTGGATTTCCCCCTGGTATTATACTTTACGACAGTCAATTACAGTACTACTGGACAGAACGTATATCATGCAGTGAGATGAAAGTTAAAGGGGGCGTCAAAACTAAAAACACCAGGAACGTTCAAAGCCGAAAATCTGAAAGCCTAGGATGTATAAGAACCACAACAGTTGAAGAGCTATATGACCAAAAAGGACCTCAAAATAATAGCTAAATTCATCTGAGGTCAACTTTACCTTAGGGAGTTGAAACCTTAGATTCTTTATCATTTATCAATTTATAAACAAACAATTTTAGAAGGTTTGCTATACATCATGTCAGTACCGAAGTACTGACTACTGAGCAAGTGATACCCTCGGGGACTCTTAGTCCAAATGTTGACATAAAATAAAATCCCATTTGGTACACTTGTTTATTTCATATACCAAGAATTATTGAAACAGGTTTTCATTGGTTATAAACATTTCCCCAATGTCTGAAATTGAATGAAACTTTTTATATTATCAAAAGGTTAAAGGTCAAGAAAAAGAGATAACTTTTGAATACAAAATGGATGAATTTTGTATGCAGTATTCATGTAGCTTTAACCAATATATTCTTTTTTGTTGAATACTACTTTATGGTCCAAAGCTGTGCTGTTGAACTATTATTTCCATACTATTATAACACAATAAAATACAAGTTAGTTTTGATAAACTTCTGAATTGAGTTTAATTAATTGAAAAGTGTACGGAAGGTAAAGATAAATGCATAAACAAAATTTATATAAAGAATAGAAAATGTGGTATGATTGCTAATGAGACACCTTTCATCAGAATTCAGATGAATTAGATATTATTAGTTACATAGTGTGCTAGTGACCTAACACGGTATATATGGGGTCAGTAAATTCCATATGGGGTAAGACCCCATATATACCGTATTAGGTCACTAGCACACTATGTAACGAATTTATCTTACCGACTATCTTAACGTGTGAAATTTAGACTAGTGACCTATCAAAATGAGCAAGTCTTCAATACCGTTAGCATTAAGAAACAACTTCCATTGATCCTACAAAAATAGATGCCAACAATAACAACTTGTTAGGTTTAAATGTGTTTTATGAATTTATTTCAATCTTCATCATCAATTTCGTCGTCTGTTGAAACCTTTAAGATTTTTTCTCAGTACCGTTTTGTTTTTATAAAGGGACGTAACACCACCACTAACCGTGTATGAAATAAGCCCCGCCTTCCTACTAACCTAATATGGAATATACACGGTCTCCACGCGGACGCTTTTAACCAATTATATTCCTAGAAATGTATAGGAGGTAAGACAAAAGCAATTATAGACTACCGTATGGCTTTCAACAATGATAAAAACCAATATCGTTTAGTCGGCTATTAAATTAAAACTAACGGCATAATTTATTCGAAACCAATTTACGAAATACAGTAAGTAAATGGTTTATTAAAGTGTCACATATTGATTGACATAAAAATAAGCAACATTATATAAATATAAATATAATTATACACATAAAACAATCAATATCCAGCCATAAAAACGACTTATAAGACACTATAAAACTTAGAATTCTACCAAAATTTCAAATATATCACGGAAAAACATACAAGTCACAAAAATTTACCATTAAAAATTACTAATCAATATATTCAAATTATTATATATAGGTTTGAACGTTGTTTTCAATTTAGACTTGTATATATATATTTAAAATTGTCTAATTCTTACTTTTTCTGATAAAATTAAACTAATAAAACTCTCAGGCTAAGAAAAATTTCATAAACAGCTGTAAAACAATTTTCTACGCCAGAAAAAATTATATATAGAAATGTGCATAGGAAATATTGTATATCATAACAGTTCATTATTTCAATAAATTTATTATCTATATCAAGGCTGTAAAAATCTTGAATAAATTTTGAACATTCATGAAAACGATTATATCGAATATCGTCATAAAGCGTGCATTCCATAAGAAAATGTTTTTCAGTCTCTACACTAACTCTCACAAAACAAACAAAGTCTGTTTTCTACTGGTGTAGGCGGCCTGGAGTATCTGACCCACAAATAAACATATATACATATCTACTTCAAAAGATAAAATTAAGGGAGGTATGTGGGTGGGAATTTTGTTTGATAAGAATCACAAGTTAACACATCAAATGCTGATGATAAAAGGAAGTGACCACAACGCACTTACATGTGAACTCGTGCTGACCCCGAAAGATCAGTGACCAATAAGAAAGATGCACTGGTCATAAGTGAAATTTCTCTGCACGTGAAAACATGTTATCTAATTTCAACAATTTATCGTTTGATTAAGTAGGACACTCTGACCCTTTGACCAGACTAGAGACATCATAAATTTACAGTATAAATAGCTCACTCTTTATTTAAGTCTTAGTAATAAACAATTAAAACAGAATTATCTTCTCTGCTGTCTTAAATTATTTTATTCAGCTTAATTTTCAATTAGCAAATAAAATTGATTATATCGAATATCGTCATAAAGCGTGCATTCCATAAGAAAATGTTTTTCAGTCTCTACACTAACTCTCACAAAACAAACATAGTCTGTTTTCTACTGGTGTAGGCGGCCTGGAGTATCTGCCAATACAAATATGACAGACATTAAAAAACGACAACCACTAAATTACAGGCACTATAACGAAGTCGGTTAATTAAATTTATCGTGTAATAAAGTTAAGAATGTTCTAAAGTTCAAATTAATGTTCGAAAGTTCACAATTGTCACACGGCACGTAGATGGTATAGTGTTATATTTTCGATCCTGACTAAAATAAATTCTGGTGGTGAATGAATTCCTGCCTACCCTCGAGGGGAGGACCTGATTGAATCTTCTCTGACTCTCTCTTTCCTAGTATTTATAGCGTGTCTGTGTTCCTGGTATTTTACAATGTTATTAAACGTCCACATGATACATGTACTAGCTTATATTTTAGGTTCCGTGTTTCGGACAAAATTATTATTATCTGACGTGTGACAGGCATGCATAGAATGTGGCGGGGTTAACCATGTTTGTGATCTCTCAACCCTCCCTTTTCCTGGGAAAGTGGTGTAACAGCACAACATAAGAACAATCTGTAAAAATCAGTAGCAATTGTCTTTACTCAAACGATCGGTACAAGGAAAAAAACAACTTACATAAAAACAATAGACACAAAGCACCGATATAAGTGTACTCGCAGTTACTGAAAGTTAGTTTAAGTCAATTACAACTAATAAGTAAATCATGTTCTCCTATTCTAAAAGAGAGGCGAAAGATACCAAAGGGACATTCAAACTCATAAGTCGAAAATAAACTGACAACTAAAGTATTAACCAGTACACGTACATCCAACGGATTTAGGGTTAAGATGTTACAATGTATAAACAGTCTGAGAAACGCATGAATGTGTGCTATGCCAAAATAAATATGTAAGTACTGTATGTTTATTTCTAACAAGTTATAAACATCAACGTTCAGTATATATCTTTTTTCCCTTGACTCAGAATGAATAAAGTTTTCACAAAACGCAACCTAGAGACCATCAATTAACAGATAATATTCACTTTAACTTAATTTTTAAAACGAATGATATACAATTCTACAACAATACATTTCTGCATATAGTGTAAAATCAAGAATGGAAACGGGGAAAACAACCCGACCAAAAAGCAACAGCCCAAGGCCACCAATGGGTCTTCATAAACAGCTGTAAAACAATTTTCTACGCCAGAAAAAATTATATATAGAAATGTGCATAGGAAATATTGTATATCATAACAGTTCATTATTTCAATAAATTTATTATCTATATCAAGGCTGTAAAAATCTTGAATAAATTTTGAACATTCATGAAAACGATTATATCGAATATCGTCATAAAGCGTGCATTCCATAAGAAAATGTTTTTCAGTCTCTACACTAACTCTC